AAAAATTATTTAATATTTAAAACATTATTTTTATGGATAATTTTTATGGATAGATTGAATATCCATTCATAAAAAATATTAATGGATGGATTTCCATCCATTTCATGAAAAATTGTTAATGAATAAATTGAATTATTTTCTTTAAACGAATTTAATGGATTAAATTTTTAAATGAATATTTAATAAACCTATGATAAAAGCATTTTTTGTGGTTGCGCAAACCGCAAGTTATTCGTTTGTGCTTCAACTTTCACGGTGTAAATATAGCACATAATGCTGTGAGTCAAGTATATGTCACCAAGGAAAAACCTGTTTAGCAACTGCCAGCGGTCCAAAAATATATTGTAGGCTTCACACAAAATGCATTTATTTTAACTTCCAAATCAATTTTAACAAGTCATTGTTATACAACCTTAAAAAAAATGTGAATAAAGAAACATTAAATTATTACATCCAAAAGGGCGAGTCACACACTACGCTGCATCTAGTCGCATATCCATTCTGCAATCTATCGTAAAGTATTACTTTCTACAATCTATTGACATTTGTTCATAGCTAAACGCCTTTAGTTTCCAAAAGTTAAAAACTGTAGAAAGCATTCTACAATCTATCGACATTTGTTCATAGCTAAATCACTTTAACTATCAAAAATAGTTCCTACATGACGTGCAAGCTTCAAAGTTTGATTATATTATGCATGAATTCATGTCAAAAGACACTAACAAATATGGCTGGAAGTGAACCACATGTTATTAATTGACGTTATATACATGAGATACAAAACATGATGTTTCACATAATCTGCCCTTCACGCCACACCAAAGTAATGGGCATAACCACCGCTCCAAAAATCTCCAATATAACCAATATATAATGCACCTTCAAACACCACATTTTGGCGTAACACTTGAATAGAGCACTTATGGCTCGACCCGTATTGTTCTTGTTAGCATTTTCTCTTTTCCTTCTTACTTCTTCTATCATGGCACAGGTTCCAAATCCACCATTTCCTTTTACACCAATTCCTCCGATGCCTCCTCAAGCACCTAATACCCCACCATTATTGTCACCATCACCACCACCACCACCAAGTATACTTCTTCCACCTCCAACATCCTCTCCTAGTTTTGGAGGAGGTGGTGGAAGTGGAACTGGAAGGGGTGGTGGTGGCTCTGGCGTTGGAATAGGCACAGGAAAAGGAAGTGGTGGTGGGGCTAAAGGTGGTGGTGGTGGACAAGGAACAGGAGTTGGGATAGGAAGTGGCACAGGCACTGGTGCTGGCTTTGGTGGTGGTGGAAGTGGAACTATCGGTGGTCGTGGTGGCGGTAGAAGAGGTGGAGGTCCTAGAGGAAGCTTTGTCAGCGTTGGATATTGAGAGGGACTCTTGAGTGTGTTTTTCTTGTGTTGATACCGGTGATGGAGACCATCAACCTGTATGTCATGGTTTTAACCTTTTACGTGACTAAATAAAATAATTTCCTGTTTCATAAAAAGGAGGACCTTATTTAAGATCTGTTTGTTTTCAATTGTTGAACGTAAATTACAAATGCATTGAAATTAATCTTAGTTACAAACTTTATATTAGAACTTAGAGGAATTAATTTAATCTAAGTCAATGAAATGTACGCTTCATTTTGTTACTAAAATTCAATTAAAACACAAAATTAATATATATTGAAATACGTAAATGCCAACATTTCACGGTTAAAGGGTTGGGATAAATTTTTTAAGTCAAATAAATTTTTTTCATTAATTAATATTAATACAGAGTTAAAGTTAAAAATACATACTTGTATCCATTGATGTTGATTAAAAGGTTGCAACGGAATAGTCTTTTGGTACAATGATCTTCTTCAGCTAAATCACTATATTCATCAACGGGACCTGATATTCCTTTTCTCATGGAGAGACAGAGAGACACGTGTTTCTAGTTTGGCATGTTGGGAACCATGACCACTCTTATGATTTTTAACCTGTTAGGGTTCCCATTAACCCTTAACGGACCAAATCTGGTTTTATTTTGACCCATATTAATTTTTTCTATTAACAGTCTAAAGGCTCATTAAAATTAGATCATTTTTATTGAACCCAACTAAATATAAATACATAATATAAATACTACAAATAATATATGTAGCCCACATT